GACTATATAAAGTAGATGTCAGCGTACTTTTCTGTCAAGTGCCAGATAGTGAATGTCTCAGACTTATTGCTATATTGTCTTTTTGCAACTATTCAACCCTGCCATTGTAGCACAAAAATAGCCCCACTGAATATATAAAGAAATGGATATGTCTATGTTTTAATAAAACTTTATTTACAGGAACAAATAGTGGGCCAGATTCAGCCTGTGAGCCATGATATGCCAACCCTTGCTATAGAGGACTGGTCAGTTGACTCTATGCTGTTAGAAATATATTGAGGAGTGGCCAGCAGGTGGTGCAGTAGTTAAGGCACTGGATTCCCACATGGCCTACCACAGTTTGAGTCCCAGACCTAGTGGCTTGAAATTCATGCTGGGTGCATGTGCGTGTGTGCCCAAAGTCCCAGGAGAATGGAGGAAAAAAGACTGTAGTGTGAATATCCCCCCTGGGGGGTGATTTCTCACTTTCCCTCTCACTATTTCTCTCTCTGTCTCTGGTGAGTGCACGTGCCTAATGGCAACTGTGTATATCTGTAGAGAATGTTGAGAAACAGAGAAGTGAGATTAATAAGACTATTACAGGAACTATAATGGAGGTAAATATGGCAGTGGATTTGTGGGGAAAAAAAAATTCCTGGAATTAGTTTAGAGAGTAGATACAGAGAAAATCTAGTATGAGACCAGAAGTCTTTCCCTGCTCAGCAGATAATCTAACCCATGTATTCAGGACTTCTGTCTCATGCTCTATTCAGAATGACTGTCACACACACATGATCCACAAACACATTCATAATTTTCTAGCGGTGTCAGGAATTAAAACTACTAAATATCTCAGGGTCCATCTGAGCTTAGGGAGATATTTACAAAACTACAAGGAAACTGCAAAATATTCATGGGAAAAGTGGAATCAAAATACAAGTTTATTTTGGTATAAGAAATGTTTTTAAATCCTTGCATAGTTTTTTTTTTTGTAATGTGAATTTTCTATGAACATTTTGAAGACTCCCCTCATATGTGACCATGGGTGGCTTCTGAAGCAGAGGCAGCCTGCTTAAGCATGTGGTTCTCTTTCTTATGCCCACAAATCATACTTCACACAGTTGTGGGAAAAGGACTCTCTGTCTTCTCCCTGTGGAGAGGAAAGGCCCATGTAGATTATCTCTGGGATTATCAGTGAGGGCTGAAGTTGTGCTTTTGAAAGATTCTCTTTTGAGCTCCCTCAAATATACATTTTGTCCTTTTGACTTTCAGAAAAAGCTCTTCAGAGTTTATTGGAATCTCTGACTTGTCCGCCCTATACACCAACCCAGCACTTGGAACGGGAGCAGGCGCTGGCAAAGGAGTTTGCAGAAATTTTACATTTTACTCTTCGATTCGATGAGCTGAAGGTTAGGCCAAAGGCACTGAGGACATTTGATAAACTTGCATTGCATATCTACTGTTTATAGCTATTCTGCCAGTGCTGTGGGGTTGGGAGGGTACAGAGATGAGTAGATGTAGCTCCTTCTCTGGAGAGACATGTAATATGGTGAGTATTTGCATTCCATGTGGTCAAAGTAATGCAAGAGGATGATTTGTACACAGAAATTCAAAATCTGCCAAAGGAAATAAGAGAAAACCTTTTCAAGTGTCTGTTCCTCATGGAAAACAAATACACTTTCTCTGAAATCTTGCCCACAGGAAACACAGGGCATATTTTGAAATAATGAAACTATGGTTCCTTATTTTTCATTACAAATTCCCTGGACTCTTGTGTAACAAAGAGATCTGACATAGTTACAAAATCTAGTGTCTGGGTTCCTACTGCGTAGACCTCATCTGACGCTGAAAAGTGACCTTCCTTCCTCTCCGCTGAATTTCAGATGAGGAACCCAGCCATTCAGAATGACTTTAGCTACTACAGAAGAACAATAAGTCGCAACCGCATCAATAACATGCATGTGAGTCCCTGAGTCACCTTCACCTTTGTCCCCTTAGAGAGTCCTTGCTTGTAATTCAGTTTCCAGAGGAGAGTATTTGTAGATTTGAACTTTCTCTTTATAATTGTGTCTTCTCTTATTTTCATCAGCTAGACATTGAGAATGAGGTCAATAATGAGATGGCCAATCGAATGTCTCTCTTCTATGCAGAAGCCACACCAATGCTGAAAACCCTTAGCAATGCCACAATGCACTTTGTCTCTGAAGTAAGTGGTTGAGCAGGGAGGTGATTTTATTTTCTTTGTTTGTTTGATTTTTCTTAACTATACATAAAAGCTGCTAGCAAGGCTGACATGCATCTCTGTCTCCCATTTAGAACAAAACCCTGCCAATAGAGAACACCACAGACTGCCTCAGTACAATGACAAGTGTCTGTAAAGTCATGCTGGAAACTCCGTAAGTGAAGTCAGAAATGTATTCATGATTGAGAGCTCACCCACCAAGGCCTTTTAAGGAGATCATGATGATGATGGGCACCATTTTGGTCTGCACATTACCGTTTCCATGTCTATTACCTGCTTTAATTTCATGAAGTTCTCTAGGTTGTAGATGTCATTATAGCTGGAAAAACTGATGCCTGTGTTGGTTTACTGATTTCTCCAAGATGGCTTAGCTTGTCAGGTTACACAATCAAGACTCAAGTCAAAGATGCTGTTGATGTGTAAGGACCAAATGAAGGGGTGGGTTCAATGAGTGGGTGTTATTATAAATATATTGTAGAGAAGATGTAGCATCAAGGGAAGTGGTAAGACAGTTGTAAGAGTGATGGAGGTCTCTCTCTCTCTCTCTCTCTCTTTTTCTCTCTTCCTCTGTGCAGTTATTTTTATTTTTCTGTACCTAAACTAGTTACTAGTTGCTACATTTAAAAATGATTGTGCTTATTAAGGGTAAAGCAGCCTAACGTGGTAATGAGTAAATCTACACTCAGAAGTCTGGCTTCTGTTTCTGTCTGCAGCCTCTATCATGCCTATAAGCTAATAGTCTGGCCTCTGGGCCATAGTTTTCCCGTTTAATGAAGTTTACACAATACCATGGACACTACTTTGCAGACTGTTAGGGAAAGCCACAGGCATTCAGAATGCCTTATAAAATTTGAAGCTCTGTTCAAATGTAAGATGGCATTAATTTCAAATATTTCACTTATTCCAAAGTTAAGATTTATTCCAAGATGGAAATAGTAATCATCTTCATTGTGAGGCAAATTTATAATGAATTAGATGCTAAGAAAGACTGTAGACTAAACCTGAATTATCTGAATCATCAAGGACCCCGTCAAGGGAAGTGAACAAGATTCAAACTCCACAAATACTCTCAGCTCAATGAATGGAACATAATTTCCTTCAGGTATTTTTGCCAATCCTGTTCAGTCTGGTGCCTGTATCTTAACAAAGGAAGTTACTCTACTGAAGACACTATAGCTGTTCTATAGAAACGAGCCTGATTCTTTTTCTCTGTAATGAAGCCATTATTCTCTATAATCTTGGACAGCCAGAGGGACCTGCTATAAAATATTCAAGATTGATGGGTGGGGGAGTGATGTTCATGATGAGCTGGTTTGCTGAAGGGCAGAAGAGAAGAGAATTTACTGCCCTCTAATTTACCTTATTTTCACACTGAATTGCTCGTTGAATAGACTCAAGGAGAATTATCATCTTGGGTTTCTTCAAGAGCATATTAACTCAGTTGTTGCAGGTCTGGGATTGTTCTCAAGAGAGGATTGGAGGCTCCTAAAGCAGCCCATTGTGGGGCCCAGAATGAACATGTTTTGACAAGGAAGTGATGCTTCTTCCCTTTCTCTGTTCTTCCAGGGAGTACAGGAGTAGGTTCACGAGTGAAGAAACACTGATGTTCTGCATGAGGGTGATGGTGGGGGTCATCATCCTCTACGACCATGTCCACCCTGTGGGAGCTTTCTGCAAGACATCCAAGATCGATGTAAGAATGGCTGGGAAATGCACTTTCCAAATGAGAGCACACAGATGTTGCCAGACAGACACCACTTCCCTCCCTCTTACTTCTGCCCCCACTGACAGTAATCTCAGATGCAAACTTCATCATAGCAGCTCTCCCCATAGCAAGAAATCCAATCTTCATGAACTTATGACAAAGCATCCAACCTCGAAATCAGAGCAGAGATGCTCAGTCCCCACAGGGAGCTGAGCAGATAAACAGCCACGTCGGTGCAAGCTGCTCCTTCATGTACCCAGTGTGCCATGCAAGTAGATGTTTTCTACTTTATATGCATCATAATATAAGAAAAGGTGATAAATACTGAAATACAAGGCACTAAGGTCACAAGGAACAAGGTCAAATCCCAAATAACCTTCCAACTTCCTCTCCTACCTCTCTCTACCAATTTCTATGCCTTGTCTTGCTTGAATGTTTCTTATAGACATTTTTCCAGTGTCACCTCATCTTTGGAATACATTTCCTGAGCCCTGAATGAGTTGAGTCCTCTTTCTCGTCCCTGGAGCACTTACCATTTTATATTTTCTGACTCCCTCAGGAGCTCCAGGCTTTTTAACAAGGACAGAAACCATGGTTTGTCTACCTAATGTCTGTTCTCCTGCCTAGCACAGTACTGAGCACATACTACATGGCACTCAACACATGCTTCATGGAGTCTCTGCTGAATGAATGAATGAAGATAACAGAAAACCGTGATTTGGGTGCATGGGTGTTTTTCTGTTAATTTGGAATAAGCATACCTCCTCTTAGTCCTAGATTTCCTGGCAGCACTAAACCAATAGTGTATTCCAGGTATTAACTTACAGCCTTTTAAATGCAGAATAGAACCTGCTGGTGCTAATTTGTTCTTGGCTAAGTATGGGTGGCTTTCTCTGTGGTCCTATTTGCACAGAAAAGCCTCATTGATGCTCTACCACTGGGCATGATAAAAGGGCCCTGATTTAGAAAAGTTCAGATCAATTTATTGAAGGAGAAGTGTATCTTGGATTACTGGTTTGGAGGTTCTGGGTTCCTAGCATAGCTAGGCATGTTTCTTCATCAAATATTCATGATTTTCTCTTTACTAAGAAAATAACTATTTATTATAAAAATGTTTGAAATTAGGAAATCAAAATATAGAAAACTTAATGTCCCTGCTGTCCCCTCACAGATACATGACCACTGTTAATATGGCAGCATGCACAGGTCCCTTCTTCTTGTGTAGATATTTGTGTGGATGCGTGTGAATGTAATTATCAAATTGGGACCCTGTTATACCTGCTATTTTAAAACATTCCATTTGCATAACATATATTTACATAATGCATAAATAAATAACATTTGCATAATATGTATTAAGGACATTTTTCATACCAATAAATATTTTTGTTTTATTCTTTGTGATGCTTTAGCATTTTCAGTAGTATGTTGACTATAAATCACTATGAATAACTCTAAAATATCATTTTAATGTATCACCTGGTGCTTCTGAGACATTCTCATTTACAATAGCCATTTGTTAATTTCTCACGGAGTCAACAATTAAAACTACACTGGTAAGATTATGCCTTGTGACCCTAAACTTTCTAAAGCTTGGCTTTAATGTCATTTACTGAGTCTTTTTGTTGAGATTATAAACAGTGTATGATGTTGTAATTCTCACAGATTGTCTTGATGAAGTCCATTTGCTCACGCAGGTCTCACTAAGAAAAGTTTGTTTATATTGAAGTTCGCATGTGCTTAGAAGGAAGTTTCTGATTTTCTAAGTCTTGTATATTATTCAGGATAGTCCATTTTTTTGTTGTTGTTGACATAAAGAATTTTCTTCCAGACACCAGTCTGCTTCTTAGCCAGCAGCTACAGACACTGAGTTTGTAAGCCCTTGGGGTATCAGCATCAGTTGTGAAAAATCAAGTATTCATTAGGCCATGGACAAGCCACCATATATGCACTTACAGAGAACATGCATGCTCTTGGCACAGAGCAGAAAATAGAGAGCTCTAATGACCTGGATGAGGGAGACTCTATAGCTTAAGGGCAGAGACAGAGGGTGATGCTTGAGGTGGGCCTTGAAGAAGGTGCAGGATTCTCCCAAATGGACAGAGTTAAGAGTACTCAGATAAAGGGAACCATCAGAGCAAAGTCACTGAGATCCAAAGAGGTAAAGCTATTTAGAGAATAGATGCTAATCTTGAATGCCAATAAAAGTAGGTTGGCATAAAATGTTTTCAGAGACTTCCCTAGACTATTAGAAAATAATCCCCTAAAGACTCACCCCTTAACATTCATGCCCATTCTGAACCTCATCCAGAATTCCAGACTGACTTCCTGTGGAAGCATGGTTAGTCCAAAGCAAAGGTTCTTCCTCACAAATCCATCCTTTTCCCAGGTTTCAGTCTCAGTTATGTCTCCATCCTCTAATCCTGTCTCTAAGCTGGAAACCTAGAATATCCACAAGAACCTAGATATTGTCTTCTTCCCTCTTTTTCTACCATATCCTCTCAGTCACCATGTCCTGTGAAATTGACCTGAGTTAATCCTCCTGTCTGTCTCTGCTTCACTATGCTGACCATGACACCTGTACTTCAACCCTCAGCAGCTCTCACTGGCCTTCTTCTGTCCATTCTTGCTTCCTTCTGTCCATTCCCATGTTAACGATGTCATTAGATTGTTTAACATCCATCAAGGATGTCATCTGCAGGCAAAGGTTCTAGACTCCCTAACATGCCACTAAATCCAGTGACATGACTAGCAGGTGGTGTGGTGGTTAAGGCACTAGACTCCCCATGGCCGACCGCAGTTTGTGTCCCAGACTCAGAGGCTTGAAACTCACATCAGGCACATATGTGTGCATGTCCAAAATCCTGAGAGGAGAATGGAGGAGAAGAGACTGCAGCATGGCCATCCCCCTGGAGGGTGATTTCTTGCTTTCCCTCTCTTTCTGTCTCCATCTTTCTCCAGCAAGTGCATGTGCCCTATGGCAAAAACCTGGGGAAAAAAATCTGATGATAAAGTCCTGCCCACAACCTTGTAGTCATCTTGTTATTCACACCCACAGCTCTCCTTATCCAGAAATGGGGCTCTCCTTATCCACAAATAGATCTAGAAGCTCCCCATGAAGACCTGCTTCTCTTCTACCCCCCTTTTCTTCATCTATGTTGTCATTGCCCCTTGGGCATGTTTTACAGGAACTCTTATCACACACACTGTGATAAGGGACCATCTCCCCCACCCCCAATTCGATCATGAGCTCTGTTGACAAAGGAACCAAATCTCTGCATCCTAGGGCCTGCTGCCATCCATGCATAGGATGGCACACACCTGGTGTTCTGTAGCCTCTCCCAGTCCTGTACTTACAACAGATCTCTCTGATCAAACATGATAGTCTTTCTTGATGAACTTATATGTGATCTCCCAGTAATTTTTGACTTTGTGCCCTGTCTGCCTCTATCTACCTACAAGACTCTAGCTGGCCCTTAAGATAACAATTTTGACATACCAGAAGTAAACTCCTCAGAAAATGTTTATAAGTGACCATTATAAAAGAAGTCCTGGACCAGCCAGTGGCATGGTGGCTAAGGCACCTGTATCCCACATCGCTGACTGTTGAGTTCAAGTCTCAGATCTAATGGCTTGAAAAATACATGAGTGCATATACATGCATGCCCAAAATCCCAAGAAGAGGATGGAAAAGGGATTGTAATGTGGCCATATCCCTTGAGGGGATGGGGACTATCTCACTTTCCCTTTTTTTCTCTCTCTGTTTCTATCCAAGTGCACACACCCTATAGAGAATTCAATGGTAAATAAATTAGTAAAAGAAGTCCTTAATATGACCAAATTAAATACATACAAGATCTGAATTTGAAATAAGTGATTATCTTTACAGAATGATTTTTGCTTTGCCAAAAAACACTGCAAAATATGCATAATTCAATATGATCTTTATAGTTTTCATGCACTTCTCAAATAATAAATCAATTGTATTTCAAAAGCACAAAAGAACTATGAAACTTGCCTAAATTCATGCAGACACTAAACAAGCATGGATGAAGTCAAAGCATTTAGCCTCTATGAGATTTACTTCTTTTTTCTTTTCTTAAAAGATTTTTGCCATGGGGCACATGCACTTGAGACAGTCAGAAGGAAAGTGAGAAATCACCCTCTGGAAGGATGGCAATGCTGCAATCCTTTCTCCTCCAGTCTTCTCCTGGGCTTTGGGCACAGAGGCACACACACACATGCTCAGCATGATTTTCAAGCCACCAGGTTTAGGATTTGAACCATGGTTAGCTGTATGGGAGTCCTGTGACTTAACCACCATGCTACCTGCTGTCCTCTGAGGTTCACTTCTTAACAATTGCTCTTTACAAGTCCTCTCAAAGATGATTCAGATGTAAAATCATACCTTCAGGAGCTCCTGGTCTAGTGAGAGACAGATTAATCTGGGCACTAAACTGTCCAAATATCTTTGATAAATGCAGAAGTAGTATTGGAAATACAAAAAAGAGGTTAGTTACTCTAACTCATGAAGGTATTAAGATCAAAGGTGGTTCCAGGGAGTTGGTGATCTTCAGCTGTGTCCTTAAATAAGTGTTAAGAGTTGCCAGTCATGGGACCAGCAGTTAGCATAATGGCTATGTCTCTGGACTCCCATGTAGTCAACCACGGTTTGCGTCTCGGACCCGGTGGCTTAAAAAACTCACGCCAGGCGCGTGTGCATGCGTGCCCAAGATCCCAATAGGAGAATGGAGAAGGGATTGTGGCATGGCCATCCCCCCTGGGGAGTGATTTCTCGCTTTCTATCTCTCTGTTTCTCTCTGTCTGGCGAGAAAACGCGCCCTATAGCAAAAACCTCTAAAAAAAAAAAAAAAAGTTGCCAGTCAAACAGCTGAAGGAGGGGAAGCACTCCAAGCAACAGAAGGCTGGTGTTACAGTTATTTGGTTTGCAATACATTCAGTAAATCTCAGCTGAGACCCAGTAGAATGAGAGCTCTGCATTTCACCATGGAGTATAAGGAAAAAGTCTCAAGTCTTGTTGTTGCCAAGCAAGTAAAATGTACAGTTATGATATAGTAGGAAAAAATAGGTAATGATTACAATCACATAGAACCCTCTCTAGACTCCTATAGGTGCAAGTAGCCAGCTTGAGGGCAGTCAAAAATTCTGTTGATCATTCCTGTTTTTTATTTGTATGGGCATAAATAATGTGATATTATTATGGACAGGTGTTACGAACAGATATTATTATGTACAAAATTGCTAAGATATTAACCATTGTATTTTCTCCTTCTAGATGAAAGGCTGCATAAAAGTTTTGAAGGAGCAGGCCCCTGACAGTGTGGAGGGACTGCTAAATGCCCTCAGGTGAGTTTTAGCTCTGTAGTGGACTCAAGGGGGCAGCCACCCCTTCAGATCTGCTGCAAATTTAGATGTTGTGGTTGCTGAAGGATAGAGCAATAGGCTTAGCCCATTGAATATTTTAACACATTTAATTTTCCCAATGACCTGTTGAGGTTAGAATTAGTTTTATCATCCCCCTTTTATATATGGAAGAAATTGAGGTTTATAGATGTCAACTTGTCCAGGGTCACACCACAAATGGCCAAGTTAAGACTCAGACCTATGTCTGAGTGACTCCACAGATCATGGGCCTGACTCTCAGTTGTATTGCTTCATGATTAGTGGGGACTCCTCAGAAGAAGAGGCTTCCAGACCAAATGAATAAGAACCTTTGGGCTGGGTGCTCAGCATTTGTTTTGTGTTTGGTTGTTTATTCCAAAGCTTCTCAGGTAAGATCTATGTGTGGTAATCAGAGCGAATCCACTGTCTGGATGCCTAAATATTTGACCAGCTGTGACTTGTTTAAGCTCCTTGCTGCTTACAAGTAGTGCCCAAGTACCTGTTCTCTTTCCAAGGATGCATGTATGTAAGTCACTTCAGAGAGGACTTTCTTATTGTTTAGGTATGACAGATAATGATATCTGTTGACCTATACTACTATGTAAATCATTCTGATACTAGTTTGCAATCTAGAGGGTTTCTGGTCTCTATTGTCTTATTCATCTTGGATTTCCCTCAGTTCTACTCAATGTTGTGCATATTCAGTAAGAGAAATGGATCAGTAGTCCTCTACTATGTACAACACTCACATGTTAGATTCATTTCCACTCACAGTCTCATTTAATCTTCTCAGCTTGAAGGGCTAAGGCTGAGCCCTGAATGAGGGGCTTCAAAACTTACTGGTGAAAAAAATAGAATTAAAGTACAAGTTTATTTTGGTGCAAACAAAATTTGAAATCCATACAAAGTTCCTAAGACACATTCTCCATGAATATTTGAAGCCCACCACACCCATATTATCCACATTTAATGAGTGAAAGAACCAAGGCACACCTGATTTGCTTTTTTGAAGCCCACCACCCCCATATTATCCCCATTTAATAAGTGAAAGAACCAAGGCACACCTGATTTGCTGAGTCACTCGTCATCCCTCAGAATACATGAAGTATTAACATAAGAGTCTTCCAGATTCTATGGGTAAACCAAGGTCTTCTCCATGGATGCCCATTTCACACTGGGCTGGAAGCCCACATACAGTAAAAAGACTTTAACTTCTGAAATTTGTGACTTCATTTGATTGAGCAGAACTTCATGGAGAGCAGTGCACTGCTCTGGGCCCTGACTTTCATCAGTGGGCTGGGATTTGTATCTCCTGAAGACATTGAGGAAGTAGAAAGATCACTTCAAGGCTTTTATTTCAAAAGAATTATTGAATTTTATTTATTTTAATTTAACCAGTGATATATAGAGAGAGGAAGAGAAAGAGGGAAAGTGAGAAAGCAAGCCAGGAGGTCCAGGATTCCAACCACAGTTGGCCATGTAGGAAGTCACCAGATCTAGATGTAAATAAGACATCACAAATTATTCACACATCACAAATCAACTTTGGGATCTGGAATGAGTCTTTTAATCTTTCTGAATCTCAGTTTGTTTTTTAAAGAATTATTTTTATTTAATTTTATTTGTTTATTTTATTTTAATTTGGCCAGAGAGGGACAGAGAGAGAGAGAGGGGAGAGAAAGCGAGAAAGCAAGTTGCAAGTCCGGAACTCAAAGCATGGTCGGCCATGTGGGTGTCCAGCTCCCTTAACCACCATGCATACCCCTGCCAGCTCCAAATCACAGTTTTCTTACCTGTATAATGAAGGCAATAGCCTCTCCTGGAAATAGCTATTGTGACTGAAATGAAAACCTACATGGAATGCCTGGGGGACATGGACGAAGTTTCAGTACTTGTTATTTCTTCTCTTCCTTTGCATAAATGATTTTTTACACCAGGTTAATGGGAGGCGAGGACTGCACCAGTGTTGAGATTTGCTTACCTACATTTGTGCCCCCTTGTGGTAGCAATAAGGATAAGCATTGCTGTGAAAGTAGAGAACCATCAAGTTTAAATTGGGGGTAATATTGCTTGACAATTCCATATTTTAATATTTGTGACTCAGCAGGGGTAGCTTCAATGGTCAATATTCTGCACTCAGTTATGTGAATTTCACCTCTCTGGAAAATGAGATTGCCTATATCTCCTCTGGGTAATTATTTGACTGGGTAAAAAAGTCTACTTGGTTTAATAACCGTATTACAAAATTCCATAGAAAAGAAGAATCAAATATTAAATCTGTCTGAGAACACTGTGAGCATTGAAGTGTGGCTCTTTGTTCTTTAGAGCTGAGCCCGCATTTGATTTATAAATATCAATTGTGTTTCCCAAGGTAAAGATGGGCTGGTGAGTCATTACTGAAGCTTTCACAGAGCGCTGTTTGCGGCTGACCTCCATCATTCTCTCTCCATCCAGGTTCACTACAAAGCACTTGAATGATGAATCGACTTCCAAACAGATTCGAGCAATGCTTCAGTAGAGCTCTGCTCAAAGAAGAGGATCTATGTGCTGACCTCAGAAGATGTATATGTTTACATAATTTAATACAGATTGATGTTAATACTTGTGTATTTACATAACCGTTTCCTCCTTGTCACTGAAATATATGGACCTTAATTTGTATCCCGACTGACTCAACCCAGCAGAGCATAAATTGACTTGAGAGCCTCACCTTTGATGTCAGAAATGAAACTCCTTTCTCCAAAGGCAGAATTTGGAGACTTTGATCTTTGCTACCGGAGTCCTTTAACAACACCTATAACAATCAGAAATTCCTAATAGTTTGTGGTAGTGTTTTAATTCTAGATGTGTTATCTCTCTGAGAAGTATAGTTTATAGAAACACAAAAGTATTTGATTTCCTGTGTCGGCTCAGCTACAAGAGACACAACTGTTATCCTGACAGAGGGAGAGAGGAAGCCAAGGAAAGAAAAATGCACGTGGAGAATGAGACCCAAGTGTTTTGAATTCAGCATGCCCCTTCTCTTTCCTCAGACTGCAAACCACACGTGCAACTTTTCTGTTTGCACGTGTTTTACTAATCAGTATATTCCCTTTCTGTCTGGATTTATATCCCTCTAATGTTCCCTTTTAATTTTGCAAGAGGAAAAGCATCTGTATTTTAGTCAGTGAGAGAGCAGCAGGAA